TGTCTATAAGGCACTTAAACAAATTTACAAGCAAAAAACAAAAACCCTACTAAAAAGTGGGCAAAGGACATGAACATTTTTCCAGAGAAGACATACATGTGGCCAACAAGCATATGAACAAAAAGCTCAACATTACTGATCATTAGAGAAATGCAATCAAAACCACAATAAGATACCATTTCACCCCAGTCAGAATGGCTATTATTGAAAAATCAAAAAATAACAGATGCTGGCAAGGTTGCAGAGAAAAAGGAATGCTTATACACTGTTAGTAAGAGTATAAGTTAGTTCATCCATGGTGGAAAACAGTGTGGCAACTCCTCAAAGACCTAAAAACAGAACTATCATTTGACCCAGCAATCTCATTACTGGGTATATACCCAAAGGAGTAGAAACCATTCTATTATAAACACACATGCACATGTATGTTTGTTGTGGCACCATTCATAATAACAAAGACATGGAATCAACCTAAGTGCCCATCAATGGCAGACTGGATAAAGGAAATGTGGTAAATATACACCATGGAATACTGTGCAGCTGTAAAAAAGAATGAGATCATGTCCTTTGCAGGAACATGGATGGACCTGGAGGCCATTATCCTTAGCAAATTAATGCAGGAACAAAAAACCAAATACCGCATGTTCTCATTTATAAGTGGAAGCTAAAAGATGAGAACACATGGACACATAGAGGGAAACAACAGACATTAGGGCCTACCAGGGGTGGAGGGTGAGAGGAGGGAGAGAATCAGGGAAAATAACTAACAGGTACTAGGTTTAATCCCTGGGTAACTAAATAATCTATACAATAAACTCCCATAACATGAGTTTACCTATATAGCAAACCTGCATGTGTACCCCTGAACTTAAAATAAAAAATTTTTTAAATCTTCTTTGTCCTATTTAAACATAATTCTTGGTATTGAGGTAAATCTGAATTCACATGATATGCTTTGTCAAATTTTTCCAAAACCCTTTTTTTTTTTTTTTTGAGACAGAGTCTCACTTTGTTGCCCAGGCTGGAGTGCAGTGGCACAGTCTTGTCTCACTGCAACCTCTGCCTCCTGGGTTCAAGCGATTTTCCTGCCTCAGCCTCCTGAGTAGCTGGGACTACAAGTACGCACCACCATGCCTTGCTAATTTTCGTATTTTTAAATAGACACAAGGTTTCACCATGTTGGCCAGACTAGTCCTGAACTCCTGACCTCAGGTGATCCACCTACCTCAGCCTCTCAAAGTGCTGGGATTACAAGTGTGAGCCACCATGCCCAGCCCTGTTTTGCTTATAATTTAAAGATTTAAAAAATATTAGAAATCATATACTTGACAACTATGTAAATTTATTTTGACAATGTTAGATGTAATCCCAAAATGTATGAAGAAATGCACTGATTTAAAAAATTTATTTGGGGATATGCTAGAAAAGTTTTTGAAGGCCATTATTTTAAGATATTTCAGATCTTCTGATCTTCAACCTTTGTGAAAAGATTACCTAAGCCATGGCACATGTTTACAGGGCCTTCGTTTCAGCTTGATACCTCCTCAGCCTCCATCTAAAAGCAAAACTTGCTCTCAGGTACAGACTGATTTTGTGCATGTGGAAATAAAAAGAACTGGATTAGCCAGTCACAGATTTCACAAAATGTCCCAGTACTGTAGTAACTGAATTGCTGCCAGGAGCAGCTGTAAATAAAAAAGAAATTCGCTGCCCTTCAACTGCAATCCTTTTTGTTTTAAAACCACAACAAAAATCCTGTCCGGGATCACCACAACATAAATGAAGAAGCTTAAAAAGAACATCCTGGCCAGGTGCAGTGTTTCACGCCTGTAATCCCAGCACTTTGGGAGGCTAAGGCAGGCAGATCACTTGAGGTCAGGAGTTCGAGACCAGTCTGGCCAACATGGTGAAACCCCATCTCTACTGAAAATACAAAAATTAGCCCGGCGTGGTGGTGCATGTCTGTAATCCCAGCTACTCGGGAGGCTGAGGCAGGAGAATCACTTGAACCTGGGAGGCAGAGTTTGCAGTGAGTCGAGACTACACCACAGCACTCTAGCCTGGGTGACAGAGCGAGGCTTGATCTCAAAAAACCAAACAAAAAAAATCCTATTAGAAATACAGAAGCTTAAATTAAAAACAAAATACTGAGACTGAACTATAGCAGCTCTAGGATCTATTGTAAAACCCACGTTTAGTAAAGGCAACTAGTATAATCTCAGACCAGTCTGTCAAGTTCTCTGCTATGGTTTACTGTTTCCAAAGAAACAAAGCACTCACTCAACTCAGTAAATATTTTTTGGATACCTATGCAACAGGTGCTAAAGGAAATCCAAAGTTCTATGCTAAAAGATTGCTACCCGCAAGGTTCTTGGTTTAGTAGAGAAGGGGAATCAGTTTCCAAAAAGACTGAGAAAAGTGTCACTTATTCCTGTTAGGGACTTTAGAAGAACTAGTGGCAATATGAAAAAAGATATACTTTCACAAAGCTTGAGTGGAAAAGGAAGTTGAAAAAAGGACATTAGCTGGAGGAGGATGTAGAATAAAGATGTTGTTTTAGGATTTATTCAACATATTTTTATTGACCACATTTTTTAGGCACTGTTTTTTTTGTTTGTTTGTTTTTTGTTTTTTTTGGAGACGGAGTCTCGCTCTGTTCCCCAGGCTGGAGTGCGGCGCGATCTGGGTTCACTGCAAGCTTCGCCTCCCGGGTTCACGGGTTCACGCCATTCTCCTGCCTCAGCCTCCTGAGTAGCTGAGACTACAGGCGCCTGCCACCGCGCCCTGCTAATTTTTTGTATTTTTAGTAGACACGGGGTTTCACCGTGGTCTCGATCTCCTGACCTTGTGATCTGCCCACCTTGGCCTCCCAAAGTGCTGGGATTACAAGCGTGAGCCACCGCACCCGGCCAATTTAGGCACTGTTTTACATCCTGGTGATTAAGCAGAGAATAAAGTAGACAGAGCCCCTCTGTTTTAGTTAGGGAATTGGCTAAGCTGCTCTACCAGTTCCAAACAAACAATGATTTTTAAAAGAACAAAGTTTATTTTCTCTTGCATAATGGTCCAGAAGTCTGTGATCCAAGGGAGGAGGTGCCCCAGCTTCCTGAGATTCTTTTGGGACTTAGGCTAGTGAGAACAGTTTGCCTTCCTTAATACCTGGCTTCCATTTCAAGTCTTTTCTTCCATTTCTTTTTGCCACTTGCCAGAGAGCAGGAAGAGGGAAGAGAAAGGGTATAGCAAGCAACTTTCTTTTTAAGGGACAGGATCCAGTCCTACTCACATCCTACAGGACATAACTTTTTGATATAGCCTTATCTTGGTGAAAGGGAGGCCAAGGAATTTCATGTCTAAATGGGTCACCAAATGCCCTGCTCAGATTTGAATGTAGAGATATTTCCTCTTACTAAAAAGAAAAAAAAAAATACAGAATGAAAACTGGGGATAAGAAGACACAGTCTAGAAGAAGACAACTATAGAAAAGTAAAGAGATGGCATGTATGTGAAGTTGTGGTGTCATGAAGACAAGAACAAAGGAACTAATTTATAGGTAGTCAGTGACAAGTGAGCAGACTCTTAAGTGAAGGGAGAGTATGAGTCATGTAGATTTCTGCATTCCAGACAGAAGGAATAGCTAGTAAAGAAGCCCTGAGGCAAGAGCATGCTTGTCATGTTTAAGGAACAGTGAAGTCACAGGGATAAAAGACAAACCAGAAGAAAGTGATGATATGGAACCAAGCAAATGAGACATGTCAAGAGAGAGGACGTAGTCAAGAACAACAAAAGTTGCAAGGGTGAAGCTTTGGCCATTGAAACTGGCAGCATGGAGCTCACAGGTGACCTTGACAAGTGGCAGTTTTGTGGCATGGTGGGCATGAAGGACTGAATGGAGTAAATTCAAGGGAGAGAGGAGGAAGTGGAATCACAGAGAGCAAATATGGTCCTCTCCTTTGAAGAGAAAATGGGAATGACTTGAGTATGTGTTTAAGGTAAAGAACCAGTAGAAATGGAGAGGCTAAGATACATGGAAGTGGAGTAATTGATGGTGCAAGGTCTCAGAAGAGGAGAAATATGTGGGGTTCCTCCTTTTACTCCTAGTCACCGAAAAGAAGATAAGAATGGTAGTGAATCAAGATGTTGGAGGAGGGCAGGAAGAAGTAGTGGGAAGTTGTGGAAATTCTACCTAATAGTTTTAATTTTCTTTTCTGAAGTAGAAGGCAGTGTCATCTCCTGAGTGCAAGCAGAAAAGTTGTCCTCAACTATGAATAGTAAGAGTAGAAAAGGAAGAGATTTGTATTGATCTGAGGTTTTGTGTGGGGGTTTGAGGTCAAGGCCAAAACCATTGAGAAGATTGACAAGATAGTGTTTAAAGTGATGAATACTGCTGTGTCTCCTCTCAATAATACAGCACTTTCTTCAGCCTACACTCTTCTAATGGCAGGATTGGAAAGGCAATACTTTCCCCAAACTCATCATCTTATCAAAACCATCTGCCACGAAGCTCATCAAGACTAAGCTCATAATGCTGTTTATAGCCATCACCACCACAAGCCCAAGACCACCCACTTTTAAGCATGAAAATACAAGTGAAGACTGTCAGACATCTGAAGACTGCCTCAAGGTCAGACTCGTGACACCTGAGGCAGCACCATTCACTCAGTTTTGGGAACAAAAAACCTGGAATCCTCTTTCACCGTCATTCACTTGGTCAATCACCAACCTCTGTTCATCCCACCTCTAAATATTCCCCAGGGCGCCCACTTCTCTCCATGCCCACTCTCCATGCCACTGGTAACCTGCGTTTCTGTCATCCCGCATTCTGATACTCTATCCCTCCAGCTCTCTGCGCAAAAACTGATCATACTGGCCGGGCGCGGGGGCTCACGCCTGTAATCCCAGCACTTTGGGAAGCCGAGGTGGGCGGATCACGAGGTCAACAGATGAGACAACCCTAGCCAACATGGTGAAACCCCATCTCTCCTACAAATACAAAAAATTACCTGGGCATGGTGGCGCCGTGCCTGTAGTCCCAGCTACTCCAGGGGCTGAGGCAGAAGAATCCCTTGAACCCGAGAGGCGGAGGTTGCAGTGAGCAGAGATCGCGCCATTGCACTCCAGCCTGGCGATATAGCGAGACTCCGTCTCAACAAAACAAAACAAAACAAAATCAAAATCAAAAAAAAAAAAAAACTGATCATACCACTTGCCTGATTAAAAACGTTCGATGACTCTACCATTGCCTTTAGGAAAAAGTCCATCCAAACTCACTAAACTGGTTTCCAACCCCTTTCTGACAGCATCTTAATCTCTCCCCACTTCCTCTGCTCATTCATCCATACCTACTGCCTCCTCACTGCTATGTTCTCTCTCCTGACCCAGCACTTGCTCTTTCTCAGTGCTAGAAGACTCTTCTCTTCCAGTTCCCACTGCCCTGTTCCCTTACCTGGCTAATCCCATACTCATCCTTCTTGTCTCAGCCTAGTAGTCCTTAAGGAAGCTTTGCTGACCCCGAAGCTGAGCGGGCGTCCCTCCTGTGTAGCACTGTGTTAGCCCTACCAAGTCAAGGCTCTCCTTGCCTGTTTCCTGCCCGGACCATGTCTTTTTACTTCACTCCTGTCTCCTAGGTATTCCAGCACAGTGCTGGGTACATAACAGGTGATCAAGACAAGTTTGTGGAATGACTGAGTGAATAAATCATTAACCAAATACCTTGGATCTCCTACTACATCATTTGCAAAAAAAAAAAAAGTTTAATAGAAATTAAGATGGACCCAGTGAGCTAGAGTGTGCGACCCTGCTTGAAAACGGCAGAGTGGTTCTGAGAAGCAGTCCCAGCCTAGGAACCCGGGGATCCGGCCTGTGGACCCACGGGCGGGGCCAGCGGGGTGCACAGGCGCTTTCGGGCGGAAGGCGGGGCCTCCCGGCCAGTGACCCCGCCCCGAGGCGCCTACCGGGCGGGGGAGGGCGGGACTCGCGGCGGGAAACTCCCCTTCCAAGGCGCGGCTGCGTGTCCCCGAGGCGTGGTGGTAGGGTCGTGGGCCCCAGCCCAGTGGTCCAGGTCACGGGCCGCGCCGCCGCGGCCGCCATCTTGCCCGCGTCCGGGCGCCTGCGGCGGGAGGGGCGGTGTCCCGGCCGGAAGCGGCTGTGCGGCGGCCGCGCTGCCACCTCAGGTCAGTGAGTTCGACCCGGCCCGCGTCTCGGGTCTCGGGAGCGCAGCGGCCGCAGCTAGGGGCCCGAGATAGCCTAGTTGAAAGGCTCGGGCGTCTCGGCGGGGAGCGCGTTGCGCGCTGTGGGGTAATCGCGCCGGGTGGCCAGCCGGTCGGGCCTCCGCGGGAGCCACCGGGGGCTGCGGGCGGCCGCGGGACCTGCGGGGACCTCCTCGGGGCGCAGAGGCCACGCTACAGCCTTCACCGCGGCAGGCTTGTGGGGAGCGGCGTCCCCGCCTTTCCCGGGAGGCTCAGCCAGGTGCTTGAAGCGGGAGAGTCGGATTCAGACTTCTGCTTTACCTGGAATAGCAACGTGCCCTGTTGCCATTGTACCCTCTTAAATACTGTACTTCTTAAACGGCCTATCTCCCGGTGAGTTCTGTTCTCTTCACATACGAGTAGTGAAAATTCCTTAAGAGGATGAATGAAACCTCACACATGTGGACTTTGCTGAATTGGTTAGCAAATGACTGCTTTTGCAGGCCTTTTGTATATTTTAAGGGAAATTTGGATATGTGCAGTGCATCTCCTGGAAGATGCTGATGGTGGAAATTTCTTGAAACCGCTCTCGTAATTTGCCATGGTAAGAAAAGTAAAAGACAACATCAAAAAGCATGTGATTGGATACTTTGTACACTTAGTAGTATTGTAATGTGTTGGACTTCACTGTCCAGTAGCCACATGGTATTGAGATGTGCTGTAAGTGTAAAATACACATCGGATTTCCCAGAGTTGGTGCCAAAAAAAATGTCAAAATCCTCACTAATAATTTTTGCATTGATTACATATTGAAAGGATAATGCCGTTGATATGTTGGTTAAATAAAATATGTTTTTAAATTTAATTCCACCTATTTTTACTTTTTAGATGTGACTACTGGAAATTTTTAAATCATATGGCTCACACTGTATTTCTTTTGGACAGTGCTGTTACAGATATTCTGATGAATAAACACAGAATGAGCATGGCTTTCCTTTGCTGATAAGTCACTGATGGGAAGTGAGACTTGTTAAACTTGAAAGGTGAGGATATAAATACAAGCTATACTTATTGCAGACCGCACCCCTTCTGCACCTAATTTTTTAATGTCTCCAACATTTGGAAAAAACATTAACTTTCAGGGCTGATTACGGGAATGGTAGTGATACTAACATCTATGTGATGTGAAGAGTTCATTTCAGTTGATGTCACAACTTTGTGAGATGGAAATGGGATAGATTTTATCTCGGTTTATGGTTTTGGAGTATTACAAGATTTGTTAGGATTTGAACTGGGGAGTGGCTGTAGGATTTCTGACTCTATATTGTTTTCTTTACACCAGATTCTTGGTGATGTATGTTCATGATCAAGGAACTGTTTATCCTGTGTATTAGATGGTGAAAAAAGTACACTTCTTAAAAGGGTGGACATAGATGCACCTCTCTATACAGGGTTACTCTTATAATGTGCAACCTGTGCAGTAGCGCATAGACCAGCATTTATAATGGCTAGCACTTATTTTAATGGCTAGTCTGCTATCACTGTCTTGACTTTTTAAATAAGGGGCCCTGCATTTTTATTTTGCACCACGCCTTGCGTATTGTGTAGCTGATCCTTTCTCTTTGCAGTAATCTAGGATGGAAGTTGAGAGACCCTGGACAAGCACCCAAACATCTGGTCTTCACTTTACTGTTATGTAAAGTGAGAAGAATTAGTCTTTTTCTCTCAAGTTTTGATTCTGTATGAATTACTGTCATCAGATTTAGTGGATGGCAGTATAAATATTTTAGGTGCATGACAATGGAAGAAATGCTGATATTCTCCGTTGAGAGTCATGTGAATCAAAGTTCTAAAATTTACGCTACAACTCGTATTTTGTGTTTTGTAAGATGGATTTTTCTATGTGGCATCAAAATTGCTTACCATAGACCATTGGTATAAAGAGTAGGGTTGTGGAATGAAGGCCTGAAGAGTGTGTTTATTTAAACATTGATTTTTCAATGAGATGGGAAAATGGGGCAGATCTCATGATGTCAATTAAGAGGTTTCCTTTGTGGTGGTATGAGTGTGAAACCTTACTTGGCAGTATCTGTTCCTTTTCTTTGCTGTCATAGCTGCTGCCTATCACATGAGGTGCCCCTTTTCCTCCTCATTCTTAAATTTTTTAACCTCTTTAAGGTTGGACTTAATTTTATCACTATAGTGCAGGTTTTTTTTTAGACCAGAGACTTCATCTGCTCATGTTTGCTGCTGTGTTCCCAGCTTTATGACAGCGCCTAGAACATAGAAGGTGCCCAATCTTACAGAATAAATGAAGTATGATAGCAGACACTTAAATATTGGCTGGAGCCAGCCTCTCCTATGAAGGGTAGAAGTGGAAGCATGAGGAAATAGGTAAAACTTGGAGATACCAGTTGTGAGAAGTGTCAGAGGGATCATTCAACACATGCATTTATTTAACAAATGTTTATTAAACTTCCTACTGAGTGTCTAGCACTGTACTGGGGACTAGAGGTACAGTGGAACACAAAAAAATACTTCACCTGCTCTCATGGAGTGTATAATCCAGTAGAAGAGACAGAAATGGATGATTAAAGGGAAAGAATACTGTTTAATGACAGTGTATGTCTGAGTAACCTGACCTCGACTAGGGAGGGGATGGAGGGTGGTTGATGTCAAGGTTGAGCAGGTATTAACTTGACCCAGAAGGCAGAGAACTATGCTTTAACCAGAGGAAACATCATTTGCAAAGGTATGGTGATGGGGGAGGAGGGTATACTCTAGGAATTGAAAAGGACAGTGTAAAAGGACAGCAAGAATGTTGTGCCACAAGGCCGATGCAGTAGGCAGAGACCAAAAGCATTTAGGGTTTTGTAGGTTAGGTTGAAGATTTGGAATGCTATACTAAGAGCAGCTGGAGACCATTAGAGGGTTTTAAGCAAGGAAGGATAGCCTGGTCAAAGTTGTGTTGTAGAAAGATTTTTACTCTGATATTCTATAAAGCAATATTTCCGAAGGGCCCAGGGGAAAGGTGAATAAAAGAAAAACTGCCAGCACCGCACACCAGATATGTTGTATACCTTAATTTACTGAAATCAGTTTTCAGAGGCTTGAGACTATCCTCAGTGTGGTAGCACTTGGAAGCCTGAATGAGGAGACAAGATGATAAATAATTGGGTAAATGACTGGCAAACGGCAAACCCAAAGTGACAAGTAAATGAAGACATTGAGGGTGCTAGTAAGAATATAATTGAAATGATTGATCTTGGGCTTGAGAAATGCTAAAGAAGGAAATAAAATCAGTATAAGAATTCCTTAATGAGCAGTCCCCAACCTTTTTGGCACCAGGGACCGGTTTCATGGAAGACAGTTTTCTCACTGACGAGGGATAGGGGTGGTTTCAGGATGATTCAAGCGCATTACATTTATTGTGCACTTTATTTCTATTTACATTGCACTATATAATGAAATAATTATACAACTCACCATAATGTAGAATCAGTGGGAGCCCTGAGCTTGTTTTCCTGCAACTAGATGGTCCCATATGGGTGTGATAGGAGACAGTGACAGATCATCAGACATTAGATTCTCACAAGGAATGCACAACCTAGATCCCTGTCATGTGCAGTTCACAGTAGGGTTTGCACTGCTGTGAGAAACTGATACTGCTATTGATCTGACAGGAGGTGGAGCTCAGGCGGCAGTGTGTGAGATGAGTGGCTCTAAGTAACAGATGAAGCTTTGCTCCCTTGCCTGCTGCTCACCTCCTGCTATATGGCCTGGTTCCTAACAGGCCAGGAACCAGAACTGGTCTGCGGCCCTGGGAGTTGGGGACTCGTGGTCTAAATAATATGAGTCTATTTTAGACTGGT